GTACCCCAGCACATCAGAGCTCAGTACAGCTACATGGAGGGGTGTGAGGAAAAGCCATGCAGTTTGCAGATGCTTTCACCCAGAAAGACAGTAAAAACTGACACCTTTCTATGATTTGCACTGATCATCATGGTATTGTCAAACATATGGGAAATTAATGATCTATTTAAAATGTCTCCATTGGATGCTATAATGATTTCTTTCCAGTCAGAAATTACCACTATACTGGCAGCCAGTAAAAATTTTACAAAAAGTGTGGTAACTAACTTTAGTGTTATGCACAAATGACTACATTAAATTCATTCCCAAGTACTTGCTCTAGAATTAAAATTACAAATCCCATCCTTTAATTTGCTTAGGAGCACAAGCTGCTTCATCTATACACATGGCCTGACAAATTTGGTGGACTTCTGTGATGGGGTTACAGCAGTCATGGATGAGGGAAGGGCAACAGAAAGTCATCTACCTGGACACGTGCAGAGGATTTGACTCTGTCCCACACAACATCCTTGTCTCTAAACTGGAGAGACATGGATTTGATGGATGGACCACTTGGTGGATAAAAAAATTGGCTGGATGGTCACGCTCAAAGATTTGCGATCAATGGCTCGATGTCCAAGTGAAGTGATGAATGACAATCCTCAGGGGGCAGTATTGGGACACCTTTGTCAGCAACACGGGCAGTGGGATCGAGTGCATCCTCAGCAAGTCTGCTGACTACACCAAGCTCTGTTGTGTGATCGAGACACTGGAGGGAAGGGATGGCATCCAGAGAGACCTCGACAGGTTTGAGAGATGGGCCTGTGTGAACCTCATGAAGTTCAACAAGAACTTCATGAAGTGCAAGGTCCTGAACTTGGGTCTTAGCAATCTCAGGCACAAATACAGGTTGGATAGAAAATGGATTGAGAGCAGCCCTGAGAAGGACTTGGGGGTGCTGGTGGACAAAAAACTGGACATGAGCCAACAGTGCATGCTTGCAGCCCAAAAAGTCAACAGTATCCTGGGCTGCATCAAAGGAGATGTGAACAGCAGGTCAAGAGAAGTGACTCTCCCTCTCTACTCTGCTCTTGTGAGACCCCACCTGGAGTACTGCATCCAGCTCTGGGGCCCACAAAAAAGATGTGGACCTGTTGAAATGAGTCCAGAGAAGGGATACTAAGCTTTTCACATGGCTGGAGCACCTCTCCTACAACGACAGACTGAAAGAGTTGGGGCTGTTCAGCCTGGAGAAGAGAAGACTGGAGAAACCTTAGAGCAGCAGCCTTCCAGCATGTAAAGGGGGCTACAAGAAAGCTGCAGAAGGATTTTTTACAAGGGCATCTAAGGACAGGATAGGGGAGAACAGCCTTAAGCTGAAGGAGGACTGTTTAGATTATATATTGGGAAGAAATTCTTTACTCTGAGGGTGATGAGACACTGGAATAGGTTGCCCAGAGAGGTTGTGGTTGCCTCATCCCTGAAGTTGTTCAAGACCAGACAGAATGGGGCTCTGAGTAGCCCGCTGTAGTAGAAGGTTCTCTGCTCTTGGAAGGGGGCTTGGAACTAGACAACCTTTAAGGTCCCTTCCAGCCCTAACCATTCTATGATTGTGTATTAAGCTCCTGTGCCAGTGCTCATCTGCATTGCTATGATTTGATTGCCTGTTTTTAACTAAGGTGCAGTACAGAACCTGTGCCTTAACTATACTAAAATCTACAATTCAGCAGCAGTGTGAGTCAGACATGTTTTGCTAGGAAGAGTTGTGCCAGAACACAGCAATGTCTTTGATCCTTCTCTCAGCCACAAACCCCTTCTGACCATTTTATTCCATAAGGATTCAGAGCCTAAACCACGGACTGGGGATCTGTGAGATCCACAGTATATTTGAAGGGGAAGGCCACTTTGCACGTGTAAACTACTCTTTCCACAACTCTTAAGGAGCATTCTTCTTCTAAAATCTTCCTCATTAGTTCTTCTATCCTTGATTTTCCTGCCTCGCTTGTGCACTACAGCCCCACCATCTGAGAGGGCAATGACATTAACAGATGCTGACTACCTGGACTCGACCAAGATTTGACTTGTCTTGTAATGTTACTGGAGAGTGCAACGTCCTCCCCTTCACTTCTCAAAATGCAAGGTTACAAAACCAAAAGTCACACTGTGAGTACAGAATAGAGCACAAAAAAGCAGTATCCATGACTGCCAGAAAAAATGTCATTTGCATAACCAGTCATGGGGAAAGTGTTTGTCAAAAAGATACATTATTTTCCTGATACCAATCTGAAAATGCTAAAATATAAGCTGCTGAGCAGCATCAGCAGCAGTGATTTGACTGAATGTATTAGAAAGGATAAAGAAATGTGAATCATTCACTTTACAGGTATCCCACCCCAGCTAAAGTTGGTTGCAGAAGGCATTTTTGTTAGTTTGAAGACAGAAGCTACTTGATGACCATGTAAAAGATGCAATGAACTTCTATGATTTTATGACACACATTAAACCCAAACTTTAAGGTAGCTTAAACAACACAGATGAAGTTTCCCTTTGATTCATTCTTCCGTGACAAGAACAGTTGATGAAACAGTTAGAAAAGGTATTACAGTTTTTTAATGTGGGACTGAAGAATATGTTATGGCCACATTCTGTTACTCCCTTGCAGAAAAGGAGTCAAACGCAGGCTTAGTTTCACTTAGAAACTGATGCCCTAAGGAACTGGTAAAGATGTTTGTGTATCAATCAGTGAAAAAGAACATCTGTTCTTTTCCAAGAAAGAAAGGGACAAGAAAGGAAAAGGCACTTTTACCTAAGAGGAAGCCAGATTATTTTCAATCTGCAAAGTCATCTCTCCTTGAATGTTACATACACACTCCATCAGTTTAGGGTCATTGCATTTTCTGTGAAACTGGAATATGTTCAGAATGTCTGACAGGAATTCCTACATTCATTTGTCATTTCTATTAACTGTGTTTTAAAAACATTGTCTGCCACAAGTAGGAGAAATTAATAAAAAAGTATTGGAGCAATACATATAAAAAATTCCAAACAAACAAAAAACCCCTGCAACTAAAATATCCACAACAAAATGAAATGCAAAGTCTTTGCAGAAGCACACATTTAAGTTGTGAATACCTGAAAACCTGACAATGAAATCATGAACAGCAAGTTACTTTTGCACTACACTAAGGATCTGGACAGCTCCTTAAGAAATGAAAGCAATTAAAATTTAACAGCACTTGTAAATACCACTTGTAATCCACAGAAACGTAACAATGTATGTCTTGATGCTGACACACAACATATATAACAAAGAAGAACTTGGGTTAAATGAGATGAAGTGCAATTATAATGAAGTTATAATCAAAAGCAAGAGTGACCATAGCTCTCTAATGCCTGTCTGCTAAGCATTATAACAAACACGACAGCATACACTTGTAACTACCATCATTTTTTTTAAATACCCTTAGGTGACAACTCTGAAGCTGTCAATTACCTGAGAGGAAAACAACAATTCTCTGTAACCAAGCTTTCTCCTAGAAATGCGATTGATTTAACCAAACTCCAGACATAAAATAAGTTTCTGGTGGAGTGTGCAGGGGAAACCAAGAGACTCACACATCCCAGAAAACAACCTCGTAATTAGTTGTCAGTCCAAGTTACAAATGTATAGAGGACTGATTTAACAACCGAGTCAGTCCTACTACCAACACCACATTTGGTTCACAACTATGAAAAAGCATCATGGCAAAAGATTTAGAGAAACAAGGTCATACCCTATAGCCCAGTGATGGAAAATAAGGGTCTGGGGGGGCCAAATGCCTGTTCCTTTTATTTCTACAAAGCACTAAAACATGGAACTGAACAGTCCAATCCCTAATTAGGATGGAGAACCTTAGCACAGGACTCTTAAGCCCAAGCTGTTCTATGAATATCCACTTCATCACTTTTCACCAAACTAGCCTCAATGAACTTCATTATCCACTCCCCAAAGAACTCAGGAAAAAACAGTATCCAAAGCCTCAAAAACATAATGGGAGGGAAAAAATCCAGCCCTGTTTCACCCTAGTGATGAAAATTTTGAAAATCCTTTCAACTATGTGTCAAATATTTTTTTGCAGACATGTAATTATTTATTATAAGGTTCAAAGTCAAACTCGAGGCAATGAGAATAGGTATTATAAGATGTTGAATCTCAATGTACACAGATGCAAAGCAACTTCCATTTTTCTTTCTACCAGCTCTGAGAAGTTAGAGTATTTTCCTATCAATGATTAAGGAAGCAAGAATTAAGATGACTTTTATTTAAGAGCCTTACTTGAGATTCCCAAGTTAAAACTTTCAGCAGAAACCAAAGGAAAAATATGTAGAGTGCAGAAATTCAATCAAATGGTAATCTTGTTTCATAAGTAAATAAAGTTTTGAGCAAATGTGGTGTAAAGATACAAAACAGTGAAAAAAAGGATTTGATTTAGATGCCTTTTCTTTCGGCAGCAGATCAAAAGGACTTTCAGAAGTTGCCTTTACTGAAACAGAATCTCTGTATTACAGGCCTAGTTTTGTATATCTTTCAAAGGCTTCTTGACTAGAATACTGTCAACTAGGAAGGGGCCTCTGGATAATTCAGGCATGTACAATGCCTTCTGACCTCCCTAGTGTCTGCTTGGCCTTTTCCACTGATGAAAGAAACCAAACTTTATTTATTTATTTTCACTCTTCGAGATGTGCATTCCCAAACTGATTATTTTTTTCAGTACAATGACACATAAGTGTAGGTAGTATAAACTTAGAATGCTATACAACTTTACTTTTTCCTCACTTAAGAAATCAGAACCTAATTTAAATCTACAGGATCATAGAAATACCTATTCATTTTTGAAGCTACCAGTAACATGAAATACTTAAACAGCAAAACAGACAAGAAAAAGCAAAATATCAAGTTCCCACAGGCTACAGCTTCAACATTTTTTCTGATTTTTATCTCCTCATTGCTAGGCAGAGAGACCAGCAAACATTCAGCATACCTGCTCCGACTTCTTTTTCTTCTTCTTCAATGTTGTTTTTGATACTGTCATACTCCTCATCGATTGCCTGGTTGCCACGCATTTGAGACAGAATTCTCCGTGCTCTCTGAGTCTGGCCTTTCTGAATGAGCCAGCGGGGACTTTCGGGAAGAAACAGGAATCCAAGAAACTGTATAACTGCTGGAACAGCCGACAGGCCCAGCATGTACCTGGAAATAAATAAGCAAATAAATAAATATCTATTATTTGCCTACAAAAACATGCTATAAGAAGATTCAGTTACAGCTACTGAAACTGCAGTTTACAGAACAAATCCTCCTCTCTTCATATTCTTTCTCACTGTAAGTTAAGGGGGCAAGAATCATATATTCTGCAAGGTCATAGAAAATATGACCCTTTCCTTCATTTCCAGGAAATCTGACGGATATGTTGACTATTCTGCCACCACTGACTCTATGGCCACTGTTCCTGAGGACACTAAGTCAGACTAAATGAAAACCCTGAAATTTCACCAGTTTAGAAACTGATAAACCCTTCAGTGAACATAATCAGCAGAAGGAGAAAGCAAATGTACAGAGAAAAAATGGGTACTGTTGATGTCAAAAATGAGACTGAAATACTGCCAATTGTTTCACAGACATGTACAAAAAACAACCCCCAAAAGCAGACAAAAAACCCAAATGCATAATTTGGTCAGTAATAGACATGTGGCCATTTTATTTTTGAAAATTTCTGTCTATAAGCAAAAACACTGAAAAAAGATCATTTCACCAGCACAGTAATTTACACCAGATCTTTTAGAGAGTCTACTTTTAAATCTTCAGTTAGATGTAACGTTATGTTTTAAATCAAAACTGTATTTTAGATGCCCAGGGTGTTACTATTTACAGGCTTAAGGCTAGTTCTCTACTCAACAAAGACTTTCCACTAGTTGCAGAGTTATGTTTCCAAGAATCAGCACTGACACCTGTGACAACACCCAGGGATACCATTATTCAATCCTTTTAAAGTGGGGTAAAAGAGTGTGAAAGACAAGCGTACTACCAATTTTCATGGGTGGTTCTGGTCTATACACTCCACGTTTTTATATTCCCTCAATAAAACTCTACAAAGATAACAAGATTTGTGGAACAATGTAAAATTTCGTTCTGCTTTTTAAATCTCACCTTTTCCCATTTACACTTCACTGAGATTCTTTTCACTTCCATTAAAGAATTTAAACAGTGCTGGTGTCACCTGGACATTATTTCACATCAGGAGATAGAACCACTAAAACACCTTGAGAATCCAGCCCCTCTGAATACTGAGGTAGCCTGTACTCATAAACAGGTTCACACCTCGAGATCAGTCAGGAGATTAAGGAGATTTGCTAATCTCTCCTCTATCTCCTCTCTTCATACCCTAGGATACATGTTTTCACACAGGTGAATCAGCAGTCTCTCACCTGGATGTTTTTACAAAGTATTCTATGAAATGAGATTGCTAACAGAGTAGGAAAGAAAGCACAACCATTATTGAAAACCTTGTTTTGGGGCAACGAACCAAATGTATTTGTTAAGTCCAAATGCATTTTGAGTGAAAATGAAAAAACACTTCCTTAGAGGCATTTGTGGATTTAACAAAGAAAAATGTGGGCAGTACAATGGGTGGAAGATTGGAGAATGGTGAAAAGAACACCCAAAAGGCAATGCAAAGAGGACAGCCATCCCAGGACAATGTGCATGCCAGGCCAGCCTTCCCACCCCCAAGGTGAGTCCTTAAGTCCTTCTTAAAACCAGACAAAATTTACAAAAGTCATACAAGAAAATCTTGCTCTAGAAAGAACTCTGTGAGCAACTCTCTTATTTTGTAACACTTTAAGAATGGTATAGTTCATCATCAGTTAAAAAAAAGAAAAGGATAAGGAAGAAAATTAATTAAAAACATAAAGCTTGTGGAAGGCTTATTAGCTGAATAGTCTTCAGCCAACATATCTTCACTAATGTTCTCATGCCTCATTCACTACTGTTCTCATTCATTAATGTCTTCATTTCTTCCTATGCTTTTCTCTCTCCACAAACATTTTGGTAACTGTATACAGAATTACCTTTACACATACACTATTGAAGCTCACCAAATTGTATATTCAATATCTTCATTGGAGTGGCATTTAGAAAGCCTTTTCTGTTTCAAATGAAGAGTAAAACAAGCCCATAGAGATTAAGAACACCATTGCTGTATTCTGTCAAACTGGAAACCCTTTAGTCCCTTACATGCAGCAGAGCCTCCAGAACTAAGCAGTTGGGTACCTACAATCACCTTAGGAGGCAAAATCAATTGAGACTCCTGAAAGCTTGATCCAAGGCTGTTAAAGCTACCAGTTGGACTCTATTGGATTGTTTATCACAGGCAAGATAAAAAAGAAATGTACAGAAAGTGCTCCCCCACTAAAGTCAGTTTCCAATACACAAACTTCTGGTCAAAGTTGAGGAGAAGGAGCAGGCCAGAAGGAAAACACTGACAGTGTACATCCATTGCAAGTTCAAGAGCTGAAGCAATTTACAGATCAAGTCATTGTGATATAACCAATTTAGAGTAAAAGCAGGCAATTTTAGACATTTCATGCAGTGAGCTGGCTTCCAGAAATCTAATATAGTTCTTTCCTATACAGAATACAAGACTTTGCATTTGAAGCCAGATGTCTAGCAGACCTGAAAAAATCCAGCATGAAATTTAATAAGTCTGCTGTAACATTTCTTCTTCTCTGACATACTGCTGCAATACTATTAAGATGGCATTAGCAGGGTTTATAAAGCAAACCTGACATAAGGGTCAGGTTAAATATTTGTTTTCTTTGGTTTATTTTTAATTTAATATCCAGCATTTTCAAGAACAAGAGCCAAAAAAAGTAAGGCTCCTTACTGGTTTTTTGCAGCACTCCAATACTTAGCCATTCAGTCACAAAGAGATACAGTAATTGCTGTAATTTTTCTTCTTATATGTAATGACTCACATTTGTAATGAATTCACATTTGTGAATTCTCTCTGTGAGTTTACTGGCCACTCCTTCCAGGTGAGAGACCATCTGCACTCTTCCCTGATCAGCCTTACCTTGCTGAGGACAGACAGGTACACTGTCCCCAATAAACAGCTCCAGCATTGCAGCTGAGAATACCTGGATACCTCATCACTGAGGTGGTAGCCTGTTTCTGCACAATGCATTGTCAACAGTTAGACGTCACTCAATCCAAAAAAGCAGTACTTGGCACATATATAAAACACAGCATTACTACCTTAGCAAAAGTTATTCAGCACGTGCCAGCAGGCTGCAGAAACAATTGCTCCTCTCCAGAGCCTGGAAAACTGGGACCACCAACATGAGGGAAAGCTACAAACCAGGAATAGATCACTAAGATGGTTGTGCAACTGGAGTGTGTGACATAAAAGGAGAGGCTGAAAGAACTGGGTTTGTGCTGCCCAGGAAAGAGATGATCAAGTGAAGATCTAATTGCATCTTTCGTAACTGAAAAGAAGCTCATATAGAAGGAGACAGACTTTCTCAAATGTACCCTGGGAAAGGACAAGAGTCAACAGTCACAAGCTGCAACATGGAAAATATAGATCGAAGATGAGGGAAAACAATTCTTCACATTAAGAGTGACTGAATATCTAAGCAAGGTGTCTTGCAAAATGAAAACATCCATCACTGGAGATTTTCAAAGGTCAGCATCTCACACTGATCGGATTAAATACCCAAACTTCCACTCTTACTCAATCCACAGGTTTTATTCATAATTTTAATTTTCTCAGTTCAGACAGATTAAAAGGCCTGAATTATAGCAGATTAGGATTTTTTAAGATCCAAACAGTAGAATAAGTTACACCAATGCAGACGGTCTTAGAACAGCTGTGCAGCATTTCAGTGGGTGAGGGCCTCATTTCTATTTAAGGTATAGTGGCATATCAAACCAGTGTTTTCCAAAAAGATAAAATCTGCATTTGACAATGATTATTGCCTTCCACTCAATCTTCTATGTTAATTAAATATATTTACAAAGTAACATATCAAAAGATGGTAACTTCCTTGTGTCACTGCTTGATTTGGAAACATCTGATACATTCTATATCAAAACACTAGCTCTTTGACTGATCTTTTCCAAAGCAGCCTAGCAGTCTGCTTTTGAGCTAGAGAATCTATCTTAGTTTACCTGAACAACTAAACAAAAAACAATAACACCAGTATTTGTTATATATTTTGTTAGCTTGTATTTTTCTTCCAGTATGCTAGTATTTACTGAAATACACAGATTAAAACCACATCCTCACCCCCCAAATGTCAGGGCACTAATGGGGAAAAAAAAAGACATATCCACAAAAGCTTCCTCCAGCTGAATCCCTGACCACTGAGGTAACCTGAACTCAAAAATCTGCCTGACCAGAAAGTACACAATGCCTCTACAGTAACTGTGACTCAGAGCTTCATTTCTAAATAAATACCTTTGCTTGTCTGTTTCTCCCACCCAGCCAATGTACAGGGACTCATTATGTTAGCAAATTATTAAGACTAAGAGTTAATTTAAAATAATACTGGCATCAAGGATCAAATAATTCAGTTTGTATTTCACTTAGAAATGCATTATTGCATGCCACTAACTTTTCTCAAAATTGAGCATATTTCTTTAACTGTAAAAAGGGAATTGCAAGTCTATGAAACTAAGTTGTTCTTTCAGTGAAGGATGTTTGTCAGTTCTCCATAAATAGACATATAGCCAGAGAATGCAGCTGCATTATAATGAAAAGGTCATCAAAAATTTCATGTAAAATGCAAAATGCTATTTTCATTTGAGCTGTAGTACCCAGAATGCACAAAGCAGAGCTAAAACTTAAAATTCAATTAAAATAAAACAAAATTGGCATGAAGTAACCTTTTCCTTAAGGTCAAAATGTGATATCTTTTTACAAAAGAGATAAAGGAAACAATCAAATGGACAAAAAGTAAAAATCTCAAACTTCTTGAATCTTCAGTCAAACACAGATTAAGCCATAAATTCATTAAGAAAATATAATTTTTTTAATGTGTATTTATTTATATACTACAAAAAGATCAGCTTCCAAGTTCTTCTATGTACCTGGTCCCAGTTGAATTGTTCCTAACTTAAACCTCAAATATCAGCACACCTAGAAGTCCCTATTCAGCTTCATTAAAAACCAGAAAACATAAACATATTATGTTTCAAGTTTTTGGGTATGGGGAGAGGATCCTTCAAATTAGAATGTTTCAATAGCAAAATGATTCCAAGCTGTAGCAACAGAAATCTAAGGCCCTACAACAACAGGCATCCCTTTCCCAAGAGTGTTTCAAAAGAAAAGCACATATAATTAAGCATAAGTTTCCAAGAGTTGGAACATAGAGTATAAGTTATTCCTCCTACACACTTCTGTTAATTGTTTTACTCAGGTCAGCTCTGCAAGTGAAATACCGAGCCACTGAAATTTGTCATCTCTCTCAAATGACACATCACTACAAAGATAGCAGGTATAAGACTGCAGTCCAGAAACACTTAAGAGATGTCTACAGGAAGAACATAATATCCATAAAGTAAAAGAGATTCATATTATCCTGTAACATAAACTTTTAACTATAAAGTTATGCTACAATAGTCTTCCCTTCAATTCTGATTAGATTACTACTGCTCAGATTAAGAATATTTGAAATTCACCTCTATTTTGCACATACAGCATACTTACTGGAAATTTGCCTTTTGAATAATCAGCATTTAATTGCTCTAAATGCAAAAGGTAAGCTATTTTCATAAACATCATGACAATCATTCAAGCTTTTGATGCATATTTATTGCTCTTCCACTTTAAAGTTTAGTACAGTCATATGTGAATATTAAGCTTAAGTGAAAGCAGTATGGATCTATTTTGGCAAGAACTAATTATTAAAGTTCCATTCCAGTATACAGTTTGACCACTTTATATGTAAACAAGAATTACTATAGCTCTCAACCAAAACAAGACTATGCCAGTTTTGCTCTTAGCAAGGAAGACTCACAAACCTCCACCCATCCTTCGCGAGGTAGCTGAAGAGTCCATCGACGACACTTGCAAAAAACTGCCCTCCAGTGATGAACAGAGTGTTAATGGTGACTAATCTGCCTCTTAGGTGCGGTGGAGCAACTTCTGCGATGTACACTGGCACAGTCATAGATGCTACACCTACAAGAATAAATTCAGTTACAGTTATAAAATCGAGAGAGGCGCTACATTGCTTTTTCATCATAAAATACCATTTTGTGCTGGTTTTGACTGAGGCAGAGTTAATCTTCTTCATAGTAGTTGGTATAGGGCTATGTTCTGGATTTGTGCTGGAAACTGTGTTGATAATTCGGGGATGTTTTTTTACTGAGCAGTGCTTGCACAGAGTCAAGGCCTTTTCTGCCTCACAGCCCACCCCTTCAGCAAGGAGGATGGGGGTGCACAAGGAGTTGGGAGGGGACACAGCTATTTGTGCAAAAGACAGAAATGCCCACGAGGAACACACACAGGAGGACACACACACACAAACTGTAAAAACAGAGCTCAAGAGTATAAAGAGCAGAGCTGGCTGTGGCACATGCTTTGGTGGTCCAAATCCACCAACAAAGTTGCGCTCTCATTTAAAGCAAATTGTATCCTTATTTCCTTAAAAGAACCTACAGTGACAACCAACAGCAATTTATTTTGTAGTTAAAACTTGAAGTACATTGGCAACACATGCTCAAAAACACATTTCAGCTGAAGTCAGATGAGTTACAACTCGAGCACAGCGAGCACAACCAAGCACCATCAGAGACACCAAAATTTCCAGCCTGGGACAGCTCCAATGAGTCCACATGGACTCACACCAGCACAGGCCACTGCCACAGCCTTGGCAAGAAAAGGGGTCAACTAAAGGCATGCATGTGACTTCTGAAGCACAACTACGGTTCCTGGCTCATGTCACAGTAGAAGGGCTTCATCTTAAAATGGCGGAGGCTTTGGCCAGCTCTCCGCTGCCTGGCTGACTCATCAAACTAAGAGCACAAAACCATCTTTAGCAACAAGGTTAGCCTGACAGGACTGCTGGGAGCCTCCAAAAGCTCAAGCAAGGAATATATATTGTTTAATAATAAAATGGCATCAGAAGATCCTTTGTTGCGATAGGTAAACACTCACAGCAGCCTCTCAGTGTGAGAACCCAGTTCCCAGCACAGCCTCCCAGGACACACCAATGATGCCTCCTCCTCCTATTGACTGAGCAACCCACACGGAATAAAAAACCCACATAAAAGTGTCAGAAAAAAAAAAAAGCATTAAAAATTTATTCAACCACTTTTCAAAGCCAACCAGAAGGCACCATGGAAAGAAACATTCAAACAGTCCTTTGCATGTTTGACAGAGAAGCAAATTTTCAAGCACAACTCACTATTAGGGATATTTTTTCGCACCTTTCACGTCAGTATTTGAACTAATGATAATTAAAGTGATGGAGACAGTGCACATACAAGGGAAAAGCCTTTACAGGAAAGCACAGGAGTGTGTCTGTTTGCTGCAAAGAAAAGCCACTGAGGACCCATCCAAGGCGGTGGCTGCCACTGGGGCAGAGGGGAAGTGCCCTACGGCCGTGGCAGCTCTGACCCAGGGAGACTGGGTTTTCCTGCTCCCCCAGCCACCCCTCTGCCTTGGGCATGCCACCCCACATGCCCATGCTCATTCCCCCGCTGCAGTGTGGCCATCTTCCCATATATTTTAACATACAGTCCTAAGAAGGATATCTTGAATGTGGGTGATGATGTAGTGAGGCTAATTTGAGAGGCAAAGATGGCAACGTCTGCATGTGTTTTTCATTGTAAAGCAGTATGAAACCAAAACCAATATATGCCCTGTAAAAAAGCTACTTTTCCCCCTCATTCAACTATTAATGAAGACTGATTTTACACAGAACCTGCAGAGAAATCTTGTTCAAAACATACCAGACAAAAACACTTCTCGGGCATCCAAAAAGTAGAGCCATGCCATTGACCAGACCATCAGCTATCACTAATGTTCAACACACATCATCAGCCCTGAGACACTGCTAGAACCACTGGTAGCCACAGCTAACATGACACTTGCTACATACAAGGGAAACTAAAGCTTGTTGCATAACATAAGGGTAGTATGAAAGTTAACGTGTCGGTGAACAGTCTTTAACAAGAGGCATGATGACAACAGATTTACTGTTTCTGCTGCATTCTTTCCACACAGTTAATGGCTACAGGAATAAGCAGAGAAAGGCAAAGTTTGCACATCTCAAGCCAGTGATACCAGCTATCCAGCTGGCATTAATACAATAGCTGAAATTATTTATTATCAAATCTGCAATGAACAGAGCAATATTTGTTAGGGAAGCCTAAGGAATTAAGAGTATTAGTTCAAAATCACACAGAATTGTTTAGATTGACAGGGACACTGGGAAATCATCTGGTCCAACTGCTGTTCAAGCATGGTCAGCTAGAGCAGGCCATCCAGAACCATGCTGTTAGACCTTGACAATCTCCACATGTGGATCTCCAACCAAAATGACTCTGTAATTCTGTGGCTTCCACGCCAGCTTTCTCACCCTGAGACTTCTCACAATGTTGCTGTCAGAAATAGCCTTTCTGGATTTCCATTTAGACCTTACTTCCTCTACTGTGCATCCCAAAACCTGTAGGTTCAAAACATCCAAGCAAAAGCCTCAATTCAGAAGACACGTTTGTTACATATTTTCAGTTATCATTTCAATATCAAAACACATGCTTTTCTATTCTGAGTCCGAAGAGTGTGGCAGGAAGTTTCAGGAAACAGAAGGAGGCAATCAGGAAAGCCTCCTCAGTTTATCTGACTGCCATCCAGCAAGTACTCACACACAAAAGCAAAGTTCTTTCTAAAAAAAACCAACATGAGTAAAAATGGCTATTATGAAACAGACCAAATGAAGGGAAAAAATCCTGTCACTTAAGGAAACAATGCTTTAGATTCCATAATGGTATTTACATTCCTGATTTGCTTTTAGTTGCCTTAGAATGTGTCAACGTTCTCCAGACTTTCCTCCTCTAATTTCAATTTAAGACACACTAGACCATAGGACACTAAGTTCTTCTGAAAAGGCATAGTCGGAAGCAAGGCATTAAATGTTAGCCAAGTATAAAAATCTCTAAAATACATAACCAGTATTTGTTATGTGATTATTTTAATAGCTAGATATTAAAGAAATTTGAAAACAAAGAGCAGCTTCCCTAGGAAAACAAATATGGCTGCAATGGAATCTTTCCTTAATCTTTCATATGAGAATGCTTTCATTTACACTTTCTAATATGCTCTCACTGTTAAAACTGCTCACACCAAATAAAAGATTCTTGCTGCAGGCAAGTATATTACTACCTAACTAATAAAGCTGATAAGTGACAAGACACTGGAAAGAAAATGAAAACAATTAACTGGAAATCTGTCAGAGGAGGTTGTGCACCACAGCTACGAAATCTGAGACAAGAGAGGAGGCAAGTCCAGTCTCTCTCCACTTGAGTAACCAAGACATGAACATTTTGTCCTCATTAAAGGATATAGCTTAGAAAAAACATAACTGAAGGTTCCTTAAATTTAGACCAGAAGATGCATCTAACCATTATTCAGGAAGCATTAAATCACACAATGGGTTGAAATCATCGTATTAAATGTTTTTTCACTCCTAAAATCACTTAGGAGACTAATTATTAGGGCTCCTCCTATAATCTGCAGATTTACCACTGGAAAGCAGACACAAGACAGTACACAGCTCAATTTTAGGACAATCAATAGAATGCAGGTGTGAAAAGACATTTTAGAATCACATTACCATCCAGAAAGGTATTTCCAGTATGTACATGTAAGCATCACAAAAAATTCATTAAGAAATTCAGGAATGAAGTCAGTAAATCTACTGACAGGAGAGATAAAATGGTCAATAAAGGAGAACTCCTATGAGTTAGAATTAAATGATAATTAGAATTAAAAATATATTTTAAGAAAGAAAATTAGGTAGCAAAACACAAGGACTAACAAAGGAATCAGAGTTCTTGTTTATAAAAAGCATTTGAGAATAAATGCTAGGGAGACAGAATAATTTCAAAGATTTTTTTTTTTTGCAAGATCACATGGATATAAATGTACCCCTGTCCAGATCAGGACTTACACTACAGCTCCAGTCATGTCTCTAGCAGATAGGAGGGAAGGTGCATCATAAAAACAACAGATGAGCAAAAAAAGCTGGAGACAGGATATTAAATGAGATCCACTTCTACTCCTTGCATAATAAAAAAGCTCTAAGGTAGTAGGGATGTAAGTGTCAGTCATTTCCTTGGCATCAGCCAATAACCAGCATCAGAAGTAGCAAAAACATAGGGAAGGATTCCTGACAAACTGTTGTTGTTGCTGTTCAGATTACTACCCAGAAAGTTCATAAACACAAGAGAGAGGTGACAAAAATTGGGTAACTTTAAAAAAACCCCTCATGTAACTCAATTAGCCTTTCATGTTTAGGAATAAAGAGTACTAACGGTTAACTAGAAGTGCTGAGGAAGCACATTGAGGAGCTGGTGTCTCTTTGCATCGTGGTTCTGTCCCTCTTTCTGTCCAGCAGATGCTGGTCCTTTGCATTAACACCAGGTAAAGCAGGGAATACTATCAGCTAAAAGGATATCCACCAGCCTGGTGGGGTTTGGACCACTTGGCTCCCTTAAACAGTTCACAATGAGATCATTGTGACTAGGTGTGACAATGGAGTGGCATGAACTGCCAAAGGACTCAAGACTGTCCAGCTGGAAACCAAAATTAGTGTATGAAATAATCAGGAAAAATAAAAGTGAAAATATCTCTGTTCCTATTTGAGAGTAAAGCAATTCAGCCATTAATCTCTATTAACAAGACACACAGCTCATTATAGAAATATGTAGTTAGGAGTTCCAAATGAAAAGGCAAAAAAGAAGTTAAAAAAGGTTTAGAACAGTCATGGGAATGAGGCATCCTTTCCTAACATATAAAACTGTACTGAGGTACTTCACCAAGGCAAAATATTTCACATAGCTCAGAATAAATTTGTAAGAGCAAGTTTTCATCAAAATGTTAAACTTTAATGCTACCAACTTTAAAATTCACTTAATTAAAAAGCATCCTGCTTATAAGAATTTTAAGCAGCCTTA